CGTTCCGGTGGTGCGATGTGCTGCCGGTGACGCTGCGGGGCTGGGTTGGACTCCATCGGAACTGTGTCCCCGTCACTCTTCTTGCTGCGCTTACCCAGCCCGGCCGTGACCGGGCGCTTGAGCTGCCACTGCGCTCGGAATGGAGGAAGGGATGAAGATGTGGATATCGGTCGCCCTGGAAGGGTCTTGAGCTGGGGCTGGGTTTCTCTGCCCGTACACCATGTGCTGAGGAGCAGCTCTCGGGGCACTTTGGGACCAGTCCTGCTGTCCCCAGAGCCCGGCAGCCCCTCGCTGCCATGGGGGTGAGCAGGGATGTGGCTGGGAGGTCCCTATCGCCCCTTCAGACCGATGCACGGCTGTACTGCACCAGCTGAGGTGGGACAGAAGCTGTCACACTCGAACTCGATTTCTCCTACTTTTTCTTCGGTTTCTCTCCTCCAGATCCACAAATTTAACCCTTTCCAGAAGGGAGCAGCAACAGCTCAGCAGGTAAATCTGTGTAAATCTTTTGTTGTGTAAAGCAAATCTGTGTTTTCTTGTCTCTGCCGGAGAGGTGGTTGCCACGACCCCTCGTCTGGATCAGTGGCAGTTGCGGAGCAGTGTCTGCCAGCCCGGGCTCTGCGGTTTTTCTCCTCCCTGCCCACACGGCTACCGAAAGGCAGCGTGCGTGGCCTGGCGGGATTACGTGGCCGTGCCTTCGCGTGCAAGCCCATTCATGACTCCTGCCGTGGGAGGGACCGGCTCCAAAAAGCGCTGTGGGCATTGACTGCAGCGGTGGGGGCCGATCTTCCCAACCAGTGAAAAGAGCGGTGGTGATAACGGGGATCACCGGAGAGAAGGGAGACGGGGAGCACGGCAGCGCTGGGCGTCCCAGCACCGTGCCGGCGTTGTTCCCTGGTGTCCTCACTTTGGAGGTGACTTCCCAAGCAGTTTCTCCCCTCAACGAGGCCGAGAGGGTGACGGGCAGCCGGTGCAGCCGAGAGCCCCGGGCTCTGCTCTCCCCTCCTACGCCTCGTGGGACGCAGCCAGCCACGGCGCCTCTCTCGGGCTCTGCTTCCCCATCTGTGACACGCAGGGACTGTTCGCAGCTTGGCGAAGGATTTGGGTAAGTTGCCGTTTATAGAAGACGCTGGGATGCTCCAAGCAGGGACATCCAGGGAAGGATGGAATACGGCAGCTCTCCTCCCTGCCGGAGCGCGGCGGGCGTTTCGGTGCTTGGAGGATGCTCAGGGAGACTGCAGGCCACGGTTTCGGGGCCGGCCTCGAGCAACTGTAAACTTGCCGTGGGCTGCGATGAATCCTCTTGTATTTCCGAGCCCTGAGCTGCTGCTCTCTGCTGTCCTCTGCCACATGGTGCCACGTCCTTCGAGGCTGTCCCGGCTGCATCCTCCCACCTCTCTGGCGCGCAGCAGAGCCAGAGACTCCTGAAGTTGGTGGCACCGGTTGATGGGATCGCCGAAGGATCTGCCTGCGCGTCTTGGCTCTGGCACTGGCTTCCTCCTCTCCGGCCCGAGGCGAGGAGCCCAGCCTTCCTTGCCTCGCTTTTCCTGGTGTCTGGAGAAGAAACAAAGGTGTGATGTGCTCGCCTCCCGCGGCGCGGTTGCAAGGATGAATTAATTACCGTTTGCAGAGAGGTGGGAAGAAGAGCTCGGCAAGAGGGGAGATGAGATGCGATGGAGGTGCGATGTGTTCTCCTGAAGGGGCGGCTTCGGTCCTGGCACGTCCTGTGCCATTTGCCTGTAGCGAAGGGGACCGGGAGTGCTGTAACGCCGGGTCTGAGGCCAGGAGATGCTGTGGATCCCAGGAAGAGGAAGGGCAATGTCTTGTTGCAGCAGGTAGCGTGCTCCAGAGGACTGAGTGCAAGATGTCCTCCTGGTTGATGCCATCAAAGGCTCCTCCAGAAAAGCTCCGTTTGCTTTTTCTTGGATTTTCGGAGCTCAGAACTGGTCACTGGAAGCACCAAGGTCCTTGGGCCAACTGAGACGTGCTCTGGCCAAGGGGATCGGCTGCCTTTGTCCTCGTGAGGTGGAGGAGGGCACCTTATGTCAAAGCAGGTGCTGGCCAGGCTACGCTGGGCATCAGCTGGTGGATGAGCTGCGTCGGGTCTCTTATCTCTTGCCCGAGTAAGGACAGGAGCGCAGAGGGTTCCCAGTCCACCGCCTGCGCTGTGCTGGTTTTCATGGCTCTGACAGTAGTTGCCGCCCTGATCCCACTGGGAGAGGGTGAAGTCTTCTCTGGTGGTGCCAAGAAGGAACGTTCAAGGGAGAGCAGCCACTTTTCCTCCATCACCGCGTCATCCTGGCGAGAATCCTCTGAGATTCTGTTTCTTGTCCAAGAGTAGTGATTTCTCAGCCCGAGGGTAGGTGCGATGGGTCCAGCGCCGGCGCTGTGGCTCTGGGAGGGTTTGAGAGGAGCGTTCAGTTCGCACCCCTCCATCGGCGCCGTCCCTGCGGGCAGAGCTGGGGGGGGGTGCGAGGGGCTGTGATTTGGAGCGGGGCCGGTGTTGAGAAGGGATCTGTTGGGGCTGCAGCTCCCCTGGGGCTCCCCGCCCCCACCCCCCCTCTGGTTTTAGGGATGTTTTCCTCTGGATCTGAAAAGTGCTTTTAAAGCCACATTTTTTATAGACCTGTAGTAAAGTCTGGCACCTCGCTTTCTTTCTCGGC